GGGCATTTGCACAATGGAGTTGTCCCTAGAGTTCCGGAAGGGCAAAGAGGCATTACAGAACTGTGGCAAGGGCAAAGCTGTAGCCTTGTTCACGTTGAAAACAAGTATGGTATGAGGCCTCTGAGGGGCAGGTTCCATCTGTGCTTCACAAGGTATCTCGTAAGATGCGTTTCCAGCATCTTCTGAGGGCCTGGATCTAGGAAGGAAGACCCATTAGTAGTTTTCTTGCTAGTGGTTGAATTATTGAAGGATGTTTTTTTCCAAGTTTCCATATTTGGCTTTGAGATTACAGGAGGGACCAATACATGGTCTAAACATATTACATGATAGATTTCCCCAGGGCAACTTACTGTCGCTGGTTTGCCTCCACTTACTATTTGAGTGGTTTCTCAGGGAGTGTGCTCACTGTTTCTTTCCTGGTCCTGCTAGGGAAACACTTCACGGGGCACTTCTTGGGTGTCTCATGTAGCAAGTTTCCACTTCTGTCTCAGAGACGGCTTCGAGAGCTTCACCTAGGGAAACGTCGGGCCTCCTGTACAGATCTTTTAGAGCTTTTCCTAGATAGTTCATCAGATCTCTGCATGGGCCCCTCTAGAGTTGGAATATCTCCAGACCCTTTGAGGAGACACACTGTGGATGCTGGCTTCCTTCATCTACCAGTGCTGAGGAACATGGTGGAACTAGGAGATGGCGCGGCCTCAAATGCCGCTGTCCCCTCTTTGTGGATCCGTATCTACTAGAGAAGCAGCGTTCCCAGGTGGACCAGTTGCAGACTCTTCCCGCACGTGTTTTATCTGGAGGTCATGTCTGCAGTGCTAGGCCACAGGAAGGTGGGTCTGGGAGGATATTCTTGACAGGGATTAATCTTTAATAGGGAGATTTGGAAAAGCACTTGCAGAGGCAATGCCGAGGACAGTGGACAGAGGTCCCTGGGACGCTGTGGTGATAAGGAGCTGGCTCGGGACACAGGTTCTCTGGACACCAGGACCTGGTTGTTACCATAGGACAGTCATCTGTCTGCGGAAGGTTGGCCGTGTACCTTGCGGCTGGCTTGGAGAACACAGCTACCGTTTCCTTATGTGATCTTGGACTGGGCTGTAGGAACGCTGTGGTGGCAGACAGGCCTACTCATTGGAGACTGGGATGGGTCAGGGTGCAAAGTTTTCTTTGAGGGAGCACACCTGAAAGAAATAGAAGGAAAGATAGTTGTGGACTCACCTGACTGGAAAGCTGAGAATACATGCACAGGACCATGTAAGTCAACCTCTTTCGTATTCCTCCCAAGTGAGAACAAGTGTCTGGAACAGAACGGGTAACATGGACAGTGACATCAGAGAGAAACTCAACCGTTATTGGCTATGGGGAGGGTGAGTCAGAAACCTGGATGTGGTATCTATTTAACCTGCAATGTGGAGGCCTGCACCTTCCTGGGAGGCCCCAGGGGATAGTGTGGAGCCTGAATTCCAAGGACCCCTTCAGCTTTCCCAGTCTGCATTCCCATAGCAACCTCCTCCCCTTTCTGGTCCCCACAGCCCCCTCCACTAATCCCTTGCCTTGAACTCTGCTGTCCCATCTCCTCCCAATGCCTGATGCTACAAGGCTCTCAGGCTGGGCCACCGTTAACAATGTGACACTGAGCAGGAGGTCAGAGGGCCCAGATGCTGTAGCTTCTACATTGCCAGGCAACTAACTCAGCTTTTCCTTCAAGACTCAGCAGCGCCAGCACCTCTGAATTCCCAGCAAATGCCATGGAGGACACAGACAGGTTCTCTGCTGGTGTCTGGGTGGGGATCCTTACAGAAAAGCTGACAGCAGTTAGATGACCAAGATCTGACCTCTTCTTCATCCAGCAGCACGACAGACTGGCAGTTTAACCGCCAAAGAGCAGCAAACAGTTCAGAAACAGCCTGATTGGCTGCAGGCAGCACGTCCCACCATGTGACTCATTGGTAGCTTGTGATTGGCTGATGTGGGAATGGCTACCCCGAGTTATATTTCCCTGCCTCCATTTGAGGTGCTTATCTGCAAAGAATCAGAACTTCCCTCTGCTCCTGGAGTTGGATGAGGAAGTTTGAGTGCACGTGATTATTCCTTGATCCCTGCTGGGGTCAGGTGACAGTCCCTACTGGGGACAGATGAAGGTGGAGTGCATGTGATCAGTCCTTGACCCCCTAATGGAGTCAGGTGAGAGTTCCTCCTTGGGTCAGGTGACAGTCCCTTCGCAGCCCCCTCCTCATTTGGTGCCATGGTATAAAAGCTAGCCCCAGCAGAACAATAAACGAGCTGCTGTTTCACCTCAACCTGTGCTCTGTGGATTTCATTCAACCTGGACACCCTCTGCCGAGACTCGTGGTTCCAGACCGTGCTGGCGCGGTAGGCTGAATTGATGGCTACAAGATTATCCTGTAATATTAAGCTACAGGTTACACAGTCGGGTTACAGTTGACTCTGTGTGGTAGTCACATGAATACAAACTTTATCAACCAAATGGTGGATAAAGATACAGGTCAAACAAGTTAGAATTTAATAGTCTCAGACTGATCATCCTTTTCCAGTCTTGAGGGCCTGACAGAAAACATGGTGTAGGTGTGGGCAATGACCCCTTCTGCCAGGATCTGCTGCACTCCAGACAGACTTCATGATCCCACAGTGTCAACTTAGCCTAACATTCCTGTATTTTACCCTTTCCTTGTTCAAAGGCCCTTCAACAGTCAAGGACAGCGGGGTACAGCTGTTTAAATTGGAAAGGAACTTAAGCAAAAAGTATCATTCTAAAATCAATTGCTTTGCAGGAAGAATAAACACCAGTGAATATATATTTAATTTTTGAAGTGACGAGTAGATGATACAATGTAGAAGGAACAGGTTTTCACAGAAGACACCACAAGGCAGTTCCAGCAATTCAACAGGAGGGTCATGATGGCGTATGTCACAAACAATCCCACACCAGTTTGGAATTATGATTAATAGAATGGTTATTTATTCAAAGGGGAAAAAACTTACAGATTACCGTCCCAGACAACAGCCCCTCTGCTCGATCAGGAAAGGAGTCTAGGAGCCGGAAGCAGAGCCGGAAGCAGAGCCGGAAGCCAGAGAGAGAATGGAGGACAGCCGCTGCTTTTTTAAAGAGAGAGAGACCACACCCCAGTGGGCTGGTATCTCAGCGGCTATTGGCTGAAGGAGCAGAAGGAGCTCCCGCAACAGGGTCAGGTCTCAGAGGCAGCTCAGCAGTTGGTGGTGGATGGTGGTGCAGGCTGAGAACCACAAGTCCTCTACTGCCCATTTCCTGTTCCCAAAATGTGAGCTTCATGAGGCAGGGATCAGCACTCCTTCCTTCACTGCTGAATTCTCAAGGCCTAAGACAAAGCCTGGTACGTAGAAGTTTCTTGGGAACCATTTTCAGATATATGAATGGCCACATTCACCTGACAGTCTTGTCTCTGTTCTCTCTCTCTCTATTTTACATGGAAGTGCACACACGGGCTCTCTCTTTCTCTCTCCCTGCCCCCATTCTCTTCCTCTCTCTCTCTTCTCTGACACACACACACACACACACACACACACACACACACACGCACACACACCTCTACCTCCAGTGCATGTGAGGTGCTGGTGGGATGGCTATTTGCTGCCCAACTCACAGCATCCTGGATAGAGATGGCAAGCTGGCTGTGCCAGGAACTTCCCAGCCTCAAGCCTCTCTTCCTTGGAGTTCACTATGGAGCTTGTCACCAGGTGGTTTGCAGGGATGAGAACCACTGTGGTGGTTTGAATGAGAATGTGCCCCCCCATAGGCTCCTGTATTGGAATGCTTAGTGTGTGTGGGACAGGGGTGGAAACATTTGATAGTAGTAGAAAAATTAGGAGGCGTGGCCTTTTTAGAGGAAGTGTGTAACTGGGGGCATGCTTTGAATTTCCAAAAGCCCACAACAGCCCCCCCTCCTCTCTCTTATGTGTCCCCATTCCTGCTTACCTGCTTCCTGCTAAGATGTCTGCTATGATGATAATGGACTAAGCCTCTCAACCTGTAACATGTCCCCGGCTCTTTACGTTACAAGTGTTGCCTTAGTGGTGGTGTCTCGGTACAGCCATAGAGGAGTGACAATGACAGACACTCTGCAGCATATGCTGGCTCTCACTGTGAATGTGTACGGGTGCTTTGTAGGATTCTCAGGAACATAAGTTACAGGTGCTTGTGAGCAGCCATGTGGTTGCTGGGAACTAAACATGGGATCTTCACAAGTGCCAGCAGGTACTCTTAATTGCTGAGCCATCTCTCCAGCCCCACAGGCTGGTTCTCAGCCTGCACCACCATCCACCACCAACTGCTGAGCTGCCTCTGAGTCCTGACCCTCCTGTGGATTTGCTGGAACTGCCTCAAGGTGGCTTCTGTGAAAACCTGTTCCTTCTACATTGTATCATCTACTCGTCACTTCAAAGATTAAAATATGTATTCACTGGTGTTTATTCTTCCTGCAAAGCAATTGATTTTAGAATGACACTTTTGTTCAAGTTCCTTTCCAATTTAAACAGCTGTACCCCGCTGTCCTTGTCTGTTGAAGGACCTCTAAACAACGAAAGGGTAAAATCCAAGAATGTTTGGCTAGGTTGAAACTGTGGGATCACGAAGTCTGTCTGGAGTGCAGCGGATCATTGTGATCCTGGCAGAAAGGGTCACTGCCCACACCCACACCATGTTTTCTGTCAGGCCCTCAAGACTGCAAAAGGATGATCAGCCTGAGGCTATTAAATTCTAACTTGTTTGGCCTGTACCTTTATCCACCATTTGGTTGATAAAGTTTGTATTCACGTGACTACCACACAGAGTCAACTGTAACCCAACTCACTGTGTAACCCGTAGCTTAGTATTACAGGATAATCTTATAGCCATCGATTCAGCCAATCACAGCAATGATGCTTCAGCCAATCACAAGCTACCAATGGATCACATGATGTGACATGCTGCCTGCAGCCAACCAGGCTGTTACTAAACTGTTTGCTGTTCTTTGGCGGTTAAACTGCCAGTTTGTCAGGCTGCTTGATGAAGAAGAGGTCAGATCTTGTTCATCCAACTGCTGTCAGCTTTTCTGTAAGGAACCCCAGCCAGATATCAGCAGAGAACCTGTCTGTGTCCTCCATGGCGTTTGCCGGGAATTCAGAGGTGCTGGCGCTGCTGGGACTTGAAAGAGAAGCTGAGTTGCCTGGCAATGTAGAAGCTACAGCATCTGGGCCCTCTGACCTCCTGCTCAGTGTCACATTGTTAAAGGTGGCCCAGCATCTGGCATGGGAGAAGATGGTGACAGCAGAGTTCAGCACCTGGAAGAAATGAAGGGGCCTGAAGGAACCAGAAAAGTGGGGGGGGGGGGGGGGTGGGGGAGCATTGGAGCAGTGCCCAGAAAGGGCAGCTCTGGAACTCAGGCTCTACGTCGCCCCCTGTGGGCTTCGGGAAAGGTGCAGGCCTCCAATTGCTTTTCCTCCATTTCATCCCAAGGTGGTGGGAGGCCCAGGGACCTGTTTGGAGGAAGAATCAGCTACACAAACACCGGGAATGGAGTGGAGCAGCTTGCAGCTTCTGACAGCCAGGCTGAGGCTTCAGGGTTCACATTTCGACAACAAAGACAACTTCCTTCCCGTGCCTCGATGCCCTTCAGTGACTGTAGGAACGGGAGTGGCGCTGTCACTGCCTTCAGATCTAGAACATGGTGGCTGACTGTCTGTTCCTTACTTGGACATCAACAGGTAAGTCAGGGGAGCCCGAACCCCACCCAAGGGGCAGATGTGCACAGGCCGGGTGGAGAAAGGTGGTTTTGAAGGACTGAACCCTGTGAGACCCATGTTTTCAGGGTCAAAACTGCAATGGCTGTGGCAAGTAAAAACACATTAGTGACAATACATAAAAAATAAAAGTATCGATGGGAAAATGATTCAGATAAGCCATGCTGCTAGATATAGACCAGGATGGGACCATGTGATTTTAACTGCTGTCAGGATTCCTGTAAGGATCCCACTCACAAGCACACAAGCAGATAACTGTCTGTGTTATCGATGGTGTTTGCTGGGAATTCAGAGGTGCTGGCGCTGCTGAAATTTGAAAGAGAAGCTGAGTTGCCTGGCAATGTAGAAGCTACAGCATCAGGGCCCTCTGACCTCCTGCTCAGTGTCACATTGTTAACGGTGGCCCAGCCTGAGAGCTTTGCAGCATCAGGCATTGGGAGGAGATGGGACAGCAGAGTTCAAGGCAAGGGATTGGTGGAGGGGGCTGTGGGGACCAGAAAGGGGAGGAGGTTGCTATGGGAATGCAGACTGGGAAAGCTGAAGGGGTCCTTGGAATTCAGGCTCCACACCACCCCCTGGGGCTTCCCAGGAAGATGCAGGCCTCTATATTGCAGGTTAAATAGACACCACATCCAGGTTTCTGACTCACTGTATGCATAGCCAATAACGGTTGAGTTTCTCTCTGATGTCACTGTCCATGTTACCCGTTCTGTTCCAGACACTTGTTCTCACTTGGGAGGAATATGGAAGAGGTTGCCTTACATGGTCCTGTGCATGTATTCTCAGCTTTCCAGTCAGGTGAGTCCACAACAATCATCACTTGTATTTCTTTCAGTGCCATTTTCAATAATTTACCTTATTGAGCAGACAATTATAAATTAGGCTTTGAGTGGCATGGCTTTGCATAACTACAGTTAGTTTAAGCAAGTGTTCTGAACACAAGCTTGTCAGGGCTGAGCTGTGATGTTGGTAGTTCTGTTCGTTCCGTTTCAAAATCAGGAAATTTGTACGTGCATGTGACCCCATCTTGAGAAGCATCTGTATATGGTTTCAATATTTAAAAAAAAAATGTAGGCGGGAAGGCAACTGTATAGCCTGGTCTTCTCCTGTTCCCTACCTTCCCCTCCCCCTCTCACCACACATATACCAAAGGATTCTTTGCAGTGGGTCTCCCAGTTCAATAATACTTTTTCCCACTTTGTTGTTGACTGACTGGCTACCTAAAACTTACCTTCATGTCTTAATTTGGAAAACACTTAAAGTAAAATGAGAATGTATTCCAATTTCGTAATTAACTAAAACTTAAACAATGGGTGGATCTTGAGGAATCATAGAGACGTGAATCCACTATAGCTCTGACTATGGCAGAGCTATGAGCCAGTGTCAGCTTGACAAACACTCCCACGTGACTCGCTCTTGTTTGTGTGTATCTGCCTGGTAGATATCCCACTGCAGGATGGACGGCCTGACAAATTGTGTCTTGTGTTCTAACAAAAACGGGAGACAATGTTTCATCAAGTCAAGAAGTAAGTGGGCTGTATCTTGCTGGGGTATAGACAGGTGAAGTCAGCATAGCCACGTGAGCTCACTAGAGGGTGATGTGAGATGAACTCCTGTATTGCTTTTATTGGTCTGAGCTATTTTGGCCATTGGCTTAGGAGAGTATAACCAGGCAGCAAAAATCTGAACAGAGATCAAGAGAGAGAGTAGGCATAGTCAAGGAGACACCATGTAGCTGCTGAAGGAGAAGGACACCAGAAGCTTACCGGTAACCCATAGCCTCATGGCGATACACAGATTAATAGAAGTGGGTTAATTTAAGTCGTAAGAGCTAGCTAGGAATACGCCTAAGCCATTGGCCAAAACAGCTTCATTCATTAATCAATAAAAGCTCTCTGAATTCACTCTACAGAATGAAACAGTGTATAATTTACAGATGCATCTATGTGGAGAAAAAGAAAAATAAAAGGGGTCCATAACACCAGCCAAGTTAGGGATGCAGCTCATCCCTTAGACATATTGTGTTGTATGCCTGTGTTTCATGTTATAATTTCCTGTGTCTTTCCCATAGCATGAAATATTTCAAATGCCTTGTACAAAATCACAGTGCAGATCTTAGAAACCCAGAACAGATTGAGAAATTCATCTGAAGAGGTTTCCTTATTGTTTATTAATTATAAAACTCATGGACAAATATAAGAACCTAAGGCAGGTATCAAAGCTGTGATGCACTTGACACCATTCACCTTCTGGCCCCAAAAGAAACGTGCAATTTTCTAGCCCCTTCTATTCTTCCCAGAGCCACTCCTGCACTCCTCTTGGGTTTGCCAAGGACTTACTGATTCATTCTGGCCAGCTGAGTATGAACTACTCCTCTCGGACCAAGTCCTCTATTTAATTGGATCAAAAGGACCATAGCGTAGACAAAATACTTGCAACATTTCCTTTTTTGTCTAATTAAAAAATAGGTTCAAACTCTAACATAGTAAAATTTTATATAATAAGAAAAATTTACAAGGTATTTTCCAAATAGAAAAGAAAGGTAATAACCTTAACAAAAATGAAAGTACATAAAACAAGACTAACCAAGTAAGAAATACATTCTCAGTGCCTACTCCTGTGTAATTGATAAATTTAAAGAGATTATGCCATTAGCTGTCCTATCCTGAAGAGTCCAAAGTTTTGTACCTAATTTTCCTTTTCCCATGATTTAGGAGAGTGGTGGCTGTCTGGTCTCTGATCCCATCAAATACCTAAGAAGGATAGACTCTTACCTCAGTAAGCAGGAAGTACATAACAAGTGACTTCTTTTTTTGTTGTTGTTGAATTGATCTAGTATATTTTTAAAGAATTAAAAAATGCATTGCTTCAAAGATTTAAAGACAGGACTCTAGGAATGAGTCAAAAATCTATAAATCATTATATTGAAAAATAGTTCACAAGTCTTTTTTCTTCTTCTTCTTTTTAACAAGTGACTTCTAAAACTAAGAGAAATGATAGAAACGGCTGACTGCCTGGACAGTCACCCAAAGTTTCCCTGTAGTGCTGGGGTGTCCATCTTTGGCTTACAGGACTAGAATAGCTGACAGATTTTTTTCTGAAGCAGAAAATTTTGAAGGAGTGTCCTACCCTGTCTTTTAAAGGCTGGCAGTCCCATTTTTGTGTGTCCTGCTTGTCCAGTGTGGACAGTGGATAGTCGGCAGTCAAGGCAAGGGCACTTTCTTACACAAATGGCTTACTTTTTTCACAAAGGAAGCAAACTCCATATGGAATTTTTTGATTGCCATCATCCCTTTTTTGAAGTAGATTGATGCCGCCAGGAGCAGATGTGTCTCATGTCAAGAAAAGCCTATGTTATTAAAACATTTGAAATGCCAATTTCTATAGGACTTTGAAGTGTTTGAAGATCACTTATCTGAATTATCCTCCATATAACCTTGAAAACATAATTAATATGACTTTGAGTGTGATAGTTGTGGGTGACTGTTAACCTGTACTCATTATCTGAAATAGCTTTCAATGACTAAAATTTGTCATTGTATAATTAAACAAGTTGTATAGGTATGAGCTACATACATAATACCTTAAACAAAAAAATAGAAACCAATGTATTTGTTTAAGTATAAGAAAAATAAACTTATAATCATTTCCATCCAAAGAGAATGGGTTCCCAAAAAAATCAGTGCAAGCAGTAGGGATAAATCCTGGTGCCACTGCCAATGGCTCTGCAGTCAGCCCCAGCCATGAAACTGTCACCCACATTCCAAGGGTCTAGTTTGGTCCTAAGTTGGTTCCTTTCCTGTCCAACTGGAGTTGATGAGTTCCCATCAGCTCAGGTAAACCTTTCCAGTGGGTGTCCAATCATGGCCTTGACCTCTTTATTTAAATTCTCACTTCTCTCAACTTCAACCAGTGCTCTGCTGCATGTCTCTGCCTCTGTTTCTGTCCAGTGCTGGATGCAGGTTCTATGGTGACATTTAAGATATTCACCAATCTGACAGCAGGACAAGGCCCCTCTTGTCTTGAAGGTTTGGGCACCCTCTCCTCCACTGCTTAGGGTCTTATCTGATGTCATCCTTGTGGATTCCTGGGAATTTCTCTAGTGTCAGGTTTCTTGCTAGCCCTATAATGGCTCCCTCAATCAAAGTATCTATTTCCTTGCTCTCATCTCTGTCCTTCCACCATCTCAACTATCCCATTCTCTCAAGTTCTCCTCCAAACTCCCCTTCCACCCTCCCTTCTCCCCCCACCCCATGCTCACAATTTTGTCATGCTCACCACCCCAGCTCCAGGGACACAGTGGGTCTATGTTGCCATTAAGCAATTTGTAGCACACTGCTCACAGACCCCATTTAAGTGTAGGACCTCCCAAAAGAGCCAGAGTTTCATGCTACAAGCCAACCAGAAAGCATATTCATAAGGAAGATGCTCAGGTTTTGCTACTAATGCTGAGTCAGGAAGCTTTCTCTTAAAGAAGATATGCCTCCGCTTGTCCCCAGCGAACAGAGCTTACTTGAGAAAATGCTACTACCAGTAAGCCATCCTAAACACTGCTCTTCCCTTTCTGAACTCTGTTCTTTTGTGTCTTGAATTCCTTCCCAAGCTCTCTCAGGATTGTGTGGGTGTAGCTGGCCCATGTTTATACCATTATGTAACTGGAGACTGCTTGTTCATTTCTCGGACCCCAGACCTGAAGTAATCACACAGAAACTGTATTAATTACAACACTGTTTGTCCAATGGCTCAAGCGTATTTCCAGCTAGCTCTTATATCTTAAATAACTCATTTCTATTAATCTGTGCATCACCACAATGCTGTGGCTTACCAGGCAAAGTTCCAGGCATCTGTTTACTTTAGCAGTTACATGGTATCTCCTTGACACTGCCTACTTTCTTTCTCTCTATATATATCTCTGTTCTGATTTCCCGCTTGGTTTTACTTTGCTCAGCCATTGGCTGAAACAGCTTCATTATTAGCCAATGATAATAAAACATAATCGCAGCATACAGAAGGGAGTCCACACCAGTGGTTGTCTGTGAATGTCTATGGAGATGTGTGTGGATTCGTGGGTGGGTCTGTGAAGGTGTCCAGAACTGTAGAATGTCCCTATAGATTACGGTGAGGGACTGGAAAGATGTGTGCAGATTCTGTGTTGGGGAAGTCTAAGAAAGTGTCTGGTTAGATCTCTGAAAAGGATTTTGGGGGTCTCTATCTGTGAATTTCTGCCAAGGACTCTAGCAACTTCCTTCTGAGGTGTCCTCTGTGGAAGTCTCTATGGAAAAATTGGGGGATCTCATGTTTTTATTCATGAAGGTCACTAGTGGTAGTTTAAGGAATTCTGGGATGTTTTTCAGTGCGGATCTATATGAGCAGCCCCATAGAGATCTCTTCTGTGGTCGATCAGTGAGAATATTTTAGAGGTCTTCTCTGTGAGATTCTCCAGGCCCAGACATATCCATTATAGTTAACAGGGCAGACAATGGCAGAATCCATTCGTGCTACTGCCTGGTTTCTTGGCAACACCATCTCAAGCGCTTGTACCCTGAGGACTCACCTCCAAGTCTGCTGGACCCAGATGCACCTCCTGGGTTCCTGAGAGGGCACAGAAGTGCCAGCCTCAGGGTTTTGGCTTCATGGACTATCGGAGATGTTCTGTCATTGATATGAAGCTGGCTGAGAAGAGGCCTGTGTTTCCCATTCCACTCCTAAAGAGCTGCTGGGTGTCACATGTAGAGTCTCAGGTTGTGTGCTGGACAAGCCCCATGCCCATGTCCTCTACCTGGGTGGGACCTTCTGGGACAAGGTTTTCTACCAGGGAATAAGTGGCGCTGCTGGAACGGTTCACTTGTTGCCTTCTGTGAGGAACAGTGCAGGCCACCCTGGGGAGTGGCTGCTCTTGTGTGCAATTACCTCCATGTGTTTCCTAAGAAACAGAGCCTGGGACACAGAAACCTGGAAAGGTAGCAGAGAAATGCCCAGGAATCCAAAGATTCCAGCCCAGAGATCCAAAGAGCACCTGCACTTTGGACAAGTTCCCTCTGCTGTGTGAACCAGCACTACGAGGGGGCCTGTTCTGCTGGTCTCATGGGAAGGCAAGAGCTGGAGGCCTAGAATGACTTGCTGTGTGACCACAGTGCATCCCCTCAACCCTTTTCAGGTGTCCTCCTTCCCTTCAGAGTAAATGCTGGCACAGGTGTGCGTGCAAAACCACCGGGCTGTGAGGCATGTCCAGAATTCCTAACTTCTGGCCTTTCCACCAGCTCGTCTCTAGAATTGAGGAGGTAAGAACATGCAGATTACTGGACGTGCTGTTGGGAAGCTAACTTCCATTCTTGCAGGATTTGTCTCAAGTCCTTTAAAGCTAAAGGGCTCCTCCAGTCCATGGTGGAGAGCCTGGGGATGAGACCAAGGTGCGTGACTCAGACCCCGATGTCAGCGGTCTGTACTGGAAGGGCAGGGGATTCACATGCATGGAAACTTTCAGGGCATCCTCGTGTTATGTGGCCTCCTGCCTAGGCTCTAACCTTTGTGTTTCTGCCTTCACCTTAGGCTCATCGCACCCCCAGTCAGACGGGTACCGCACATACCGTGGAACAGAAGAAATGACAAATGACCAGAGGTCTCTGCAGCTACCACCTCTTGAAAAGTTGTCAGTGCCATTTTGGCCACCATTCTGGCACTGAAGGCAGACATAGGACAGGGTGTCACTGCTTTGTCTTCCAGGCTGAGCTGGGTAGGCCTTGAAAACTCAGCTGGATGCCAGTCTCCAAGAAGTTGACTAGGAGTCCCTAGGGTCCGTAGGTCCTTTATACTTTGGCATGATTTGCAGAGCTCACCATGCTCCTGCTCTGAACTCAAGGATGCCATGTTGCCGTACTGATGACTGTGCCTACTTTGTGACTAGGGAAACACTGGACTGGCTCTCTGGTGCCTCTGTATACAGCTACACAAAGGACAGCTTAGAACAAATCAGGGGAAAGACATGGCGAGCTGATGCGTAGGGTGGGTTCTTACATGGTTGACTTAGCCATCTTCCCAATCCTAAAGATTTCCTGCTTTTGGGGTCCAGTAGGTTGACTTAGCTCTCCGTCGCCCCAGAAAAAAAAATCCTAAAGCCTTTCTTTCCATAACTAAACTATAATTGGCACTACCTACAATGCTGGAACTAGGAGGTGGTGAGACCTCAAACGCCACTGTCCCCTCTTCTTGGAGACATATCCTCTCCTGATGCAGTACTCCAAGGTGAACCGATGCAGACCTTTCCCTGTGGCCTAGCACTACAGACAGGACCTCGAGATAAAACATACACAGAGGAAGTAATGCCTAAATGTTTCCTTGCTCTACATTGGGGAAAGTATTTGCTTTTCTAGACAGTACACGTTTGCAGAGGTAGTGTTTTGGAGAGTGGACAGGGATCCCTGGGATACGTGGTGCCTGTTTCCTGTGAGCAGTGTCTGCCTCGGAACAAAGATTCTCTGCACATCAGATGACCATAGGGCATCCATTTGTCTGTGGAAGGTTGGATGTGTACTTTAGGGCTGGCTTTGCCAACACTACTAGTGTTTGTTTCCTCTCCGATTCTGCCACAGGAATCCTGTGGTGGTAGACATGCCTACTCTCTGGAGCTTGGGGTGGTTCATTGTGTAAACTTTTTTGAGGGAGCACGGCTACGCTGAATCCCCAATTTCTCTTCTGGAATCCATTCAACAGATGTCATGAAGTACTGTGCTTCAGTGACCTGTCGGCCGTGAAGAGTCTGCTCACGGCTGACCCTTGACTTTGTGTCATGACTGATAAGCCCTAGAGTTTTTGTGGGGAGTTCTCCTGTACTTTGACTTTGGGGGTCAAAATTGAAAATATAAGGCTTTTTATCTTGTGCCAAAACTTCTTTTTATTGTTATTTGACCTGTCGATTTGGACAGAACTCATCCCTGTAAACTGTTTTTCCTGCCTTTGACTTCTTTGCTCATCTTATTCAAAATTTGGATAAAACTCATGGCTATGCCATGCTTGCTGTGGTTTGAAATATGGTGGACATTCTGTGCTCCTGACAGAAAAGGAAACTTGTCCTGGAAGGGTGACTGGGTTGTAGGGGGCACAGTCTTGAAGGTGAACTGAAAGGCCCTGGCGGCCAGGATATCTGTAGCAAGCAGAACCTCGAGGTACAGTCTTGGCAGAACTTTCAGTGGCCCAGTCCTGTAGGACCGTGCCAGCGGCTGAGCAGTGAGAGGTGCTCAGGCCCGAGTCTTCTGGATCCTAGGAAATCGTTCTAGAATCGGATAGACTTTACTGGTCTCCAGTGATTCATTGAGTTACCACAGGGAGTTCCCAGTCACAGGACTCTTCCTCCTCTGTCTTCTCCAGCTCCCTGGTTTCCTAGCTACTTGGTGATTGGGATGCCACCCTGATCTCCCAAACTGACACCCTTGGTACTTTCCTCTAAAGTCACACCTCTTGGCATCCACCACACCCTCAGTCTCCTGTGACTCATAGGCTTCCTTGATTAGGCCTGGATTCGCCACTGGGTTGCCTATCCAAGATTCCAGAACCATTTCACTCTCCCAGTCTCTGCCCACGAGGCTCTGTGGGATGGACACCAATGTCACATTGTCTTGGTTAGGTATCGGGGCTTCAGAGGGACCAGACTTGTCACTAGTTGGCGTCTCTCTCAGGAATTATAACTGGAGTGCAGAAAGACAGTCCTGTGTGGACAGATTCCACAGTGGATATTAATTTCTTCACTCTCTTCTGAACCTTTTTTAAAAGGTTCTCCCAGGACACTGGACGTTTGGACAATGGATTCATCTCTAGAGTCTCAGTAGGACAAAGAGGTACTGGAAGGCTGTGGCACGGGCTAAGCTGTAGCCTTGTTCACATTGAAAACAGTTATGCCCTTGAGGTCTCTGAGGGGCAGGTTCCATCTGTGCCTCACCAGGCATCTTGTAAGATGTGTTCCCTGCAAGTTTTGAGTGCCAGGATCCTGGAAGGAAGGCCCATTAGAAGTTTCCTTGTAGGTAATTGTATCATTCCAAGAGTGTTGTCTACATGTTACCTTATTACTCTTGAGTTATTCAGGGATAAGAACACAGAGTCCATATATTTTCCATGACAATTGCTCATGGGCAGCTTACTGCCTCTGGAATCCCTACACCTGCTGCTTGAGTGATTATTCAGGATGCCTTGTAGCTGCTGCTTTCCTGGTACACCAGGGGAACATTCCACGAGCCACTTAGATGGCTCCTGTGGCAAGTTTCCACCTCTCCTTCAGAGACACCCTGAGAACTTTGAAACCTTCTGGGTTCCTGTACAGATCTTTCGTAGCTCTTCCCAGCTGTTTCTCAGATCCTTGCATGAGTCCTTCCAGAGTTGGAATAACTCTAAAACCCAATTGGGATTATGGGCCTGCATGCCCGTGATTGTGCTTCAAGATCCCAATTTATTATTCTGTCTGCTGTTTGACACCTAGAATGCCACCTCTTGAAGAAGCTCTTAGAGAGTAGGAGCCATTTAGTGGCTGTGGTTAAAAAGTCACAGGAATCAACTCACATGGAAAAGGTGGGCCTCATGGGGCCAGCGGTCTGTTGTGTACCTCCTAGGGGAATTTGTTCACCCTAGGCTCCAGGGGAACAACCCTTAAAAATGTGGCACACACAACACACAATAGCCCCGCAAGGCCCAGTCACTATTGGATGTAATAAATTCTCAGGATAAACTCCCAGGGAAGGTCAGGTGGAAGTTAATCAAGGAACTTCATGTCCATCAGTATAGGCAGATGTAAATCAGCCAGCATCCACAGAGTGTCTCATGAAAGGTTTTAGATTTGGTGTTTTGGATTCCAGCCACTGATGGAGATGGGGACCAGGACTGATTCTGAGTCAAAGATTGGGATTGGACAATTGATGAAGCAAGGAATTTTGAGAAAAGAGCTGTGGAGGTGTGATAGTCTAAACTTGTTTGGGGATGTAATAGAGCATCCATTGAATAAGATGGAGGGGAGATCCATTAAGGATTCTGCCATGTTGATAGTAGCCACAAGGGACTCACTTTGGAGAAAGGGGAGGACCCAGAAAAGCTGGTTACATTTCTGTTCTATATTGTTGCCTGACAGAACTTCTGACGGCCTGAAAACGGCTCTGATTTAGTTTTTGCTCCAGAAGGGGCATGAGGTGGTGCTGACCTGCTTCTGCTGCAGGACTGCAGCGTATTGTCCATACAGCTCAAGTGTGGATGGACAGATCATTTTTTCCCTTGCCCCTTCTAAACTTTTCGTTCAACCTTCTTTTAAACTGAGCATTCAGCCTCTCCTGGATACCAGGCTTGATAAAAAGGCTCTATCTGCCTGTATGTGAGGCCTGTCCAGAAAGAGGCCTCTCTTTCTCATCACAGCCATATGACGAGGTTTAGTGGCACAATTTTTCACAGATACCCGGGACCTGGAAGTGCCTAGGGTAGGCTTGCTTGGGTAATCCAGGCCTGCAGTGATTGAGGTAGGCGTCCTTGCGAGGTCCAGGCCTGGTGTGGTTGAGGTAGGCCTGTTTGAGTGGTCCAGTCCTGGGGTGGTTGGGATGGGAGAAGGCAAACCTAGCAGAGGTGTGCTCTTTAAGGTCCACGGTGCTTTCCTGTCAAACCGAGGAGCTGATGTACTGGGATCTGACTTGGATGGAGGTCAAGCCATAGGCTCAGCAGGATGAGCAGCTAGGGAAGGTGCCCATGGCGGTGAGTGGCACCGTCCAGAAGCCAAGGTCTCTCTGATGGCTGAGAAGCACTCACTCAGCTGAGAGGCAGCTGTGACTCGGTAGAAGCTTGGGCTTCTGCAGGACAGGTGACAAGGTAGAGTTTTGCACAGCAGGTGTTTCTCAAAAGGAGCTGAGGAGGCCACCGGTTAGAAATTGGTGGCCACAGACTCCTCTGTGGGCTGCCTAGGTGGCAGGTGGGCTTTGGTTTGGCTGCTTCACCTGAGGCATCTTGTCTTAAGTGCTGGCAAAAGCTGATGATATTGACAAGCCTTCCCATGGTGCTGTGGGAGGCAGGAGATATGATTGCAGCCAGGATCTCATGAGGCCAGGAGCGGGGCAAGCTGAGTAGGGAAGGACCCTTGCAGCCCAGCACGACCACCGTTCCACACTCTGCTCTACAAGACCTTGTTACCTTAACATCCACGTCTGTACTCATATCCCCCCCTCCCCATCCTCATGCCCTGTCAGGGGTAAAAACCTAACAGAAAACAGAAGTGAGGAGCCAGAGAGAACTGGAGATGGCTCACCTGTGCAGAAGGAAACCCAGTACCTTGTCCTCCTTTGGTTTCTTCCTGCTGCCTCTGTAAGCTGGAAATGGAGACTGGGTTATGGTGACTAAAAGAGGGACTGGGTATCTTACCAGAGACTGAGCAAAATGTCCTTTCAGTAGAAATGAGCAGTTAAACAGGAGCTCAGTCATCCGTGAGCAAGGCCGCATGCCCAAATTCGTGGAGAACAAGGTATATGTTGGGCAGGACCATGCCATAGACCATGTGTGTGCACTTCTGATGCCCTTCAGGGTTTCATAATCTCTCTGTGTAGAGGAGATGGAAGTACATTTTTTATAGCTCAGACTAGATCTGGGCTCTGGAGCCTCCTGCCTCTGTCTCCTAAATGTTGGGATTACAGGCATGTGCAATGTGACAGTCTTAACTCATATACTTTGGCAGATTTTTACAAATATTTATATTATTTTTAAGTGTGGATAGTGAAGATGTCTTGGAGGCCCATGGAATCAAACCTCCTAATCAGGCAGCTGTGAGCCCCCTCATCAGAAGGTACAGGAAACGGTACCAGGTCCTCTGGAAGAGCAGCCACTGCTCCTAACCACGGAGTTATCTTCCATTCCACTTTCGTAGACTTGCAAGTGTGAATTAAAGTGAGATTAGTTCAAAAGGATGAGAAATATTTTCCCCTTTTTGTCTTAGGCTCATTCGTTATGTTCCTGTAAATTAAGCAGACAGCAAAGCTGACAACAAAAGAAAACCAGGACTTAGCATACGTGTTGCGCTTACATGGAGGGGCTGGGGGAAGTCCTGAGTAAGAGAATCTAACAGACAGTTTAGAACTGGGGCTTGTTTACCACCTCAACCCAAACCAGTAAATTGTAAACAAAAGACAGGAAAAGAGCCGAGATTGAAGAGGCAGCAGCAGGCTGTGGGGAGGTGGATGGAGGGGAGAGTGGAAGATGACCTGACTGGCTGGCTGTCTCCTAGGGCCTGGTGCCTCCCCAGTCTGTTGTTGAGTTGGTGATGAGTACCAGCTCTGTCTTTACTACTCAGAGGAAAGAGGAACTTAAGATATTTTTATATTTCTTTCCTCATTGTATGGGGGTGTGGGTGGGCGTGGGTGGGTCTGTGTACTTTTCCCTGCCACATCCACGGCTGTCTCGCCTGTGTGACAAAATGCCTCTCAGGTGGTGGCCGTCTCGAAATGAGGGGCTCGTGCTTCTTGGAGCTTGGCCCCTGGTGGCTCCCTGGCTGCCTGCTCGAGTTGTGGTGGCTGATCAGCCTCAACGACCACGTTCACTTTGTTCCTGGAGATGGTTTCTTGCGTTGGCTCTGCTATCTTCTTCTTCTGTTCTACTTTTCTCTTGACAAAAACTTAATCTGTTCAAGGAACCAGGAAACATTCCCAAAGGCTCCTTGAATACAGAGGAACTGATGTGTCAGTCCCCTCCCTTGATTCAGGCCATTAGTGTTATTGATTAAGACTCCGGCTCGCTCTCTGGGGGAATTTATGGATACCCTAGAGCAGAAAGAGCTCATGATGGTAGAAGATGGGTAAATTATGAAGGAGAACGTATGGAGTGGCGTGAGTTAACATTCATGGAGAGGCTAGCCAGAGTGAGAAACCCCTGGTGCATTTTAGAAAGGAAAGAGAGGCAGGCTATTCTTGACAACATGTAGCCAGCCATTCAGTATGGGAGCAAACCCTGGGGACGGAATCCTGAAGAATGGTATTTGGGTTACCTTGAGGGCAGATATGATTTAGGGCCATGAGAAAGTGCAGTTGGCTAGTGGTGTGAGATGAATTTCAAAGAAAAGTTCTGCCCACCTGGTCCTGACCGCAAGACTTGCTGAGAATAATCAACTGCCTGTAATCATTTTTTTAATGTAAGCTTTTGTGTCTGCCAACTTCCTTCTGTAATCTCATAAAAGTGATGCTTGAATTTTAGTAAAATTACAGCAGTTTCCAACCACTCTCTTGTATGTTGTGTCTGTCATTCGCCGAACTTGTGCCTTCCTGTTACCAAGACTCTGCTTCTCCCACAGTCTGAGTGGCTCCCCTGAGCCGGTCTGTGGCATTTCCCCATCCAAGTCCTGCCTTGAGAAGCAGGATGCAGACAAAGCATTCTCCTCTATCTGCTCCTTCATATTCACCTATGACTCCAAATGGTCCGCTTGCAAACATGGCAGAGGCTGGCACGTGTGCTCCAGCCTTTACCCAGAGTGGGGAGTTCCCTGCCCTCACTCCAGCTATGAAAGGGAGGGGAAGCATTTCTCATAGGTTTTGGGAGAAGCCAATGGCATCCCACCCCTGTACATGCTTTGGAAGTAATGGGTTCTTTGGAAATAACTGCATATTCCTCCGCCATTCTCCGACGGGCTTCAGTGGACTGGGTGGAGCTAGGGAGAGGAAGGTAAAAAAAGCTCAAAGTGGAGGCCTAGGGATGTAGCTCAGATTGTAGAGTGCTTGTCACAAATTCCCCTAGGCCCTGAATTCTGTCCCAGCACCACACAAACTGGGTCTCAAGTACCCAGACTATCCTCAAATCACTCTGTAGCCAAAGATGTCTTTGAAATTCTGACCCTCCTGCCTGCACTTCCTGAGTGCTGATTGCAGGTTGGGGGACCATGCCAAGCTTACTCTGTCTGACCGGTCAGTGTGTTCGGTGTTTGGGAAAGGAGAATACTGCATGCTGCCCCTGGCCAGTCCAACAAGGAGCTTGTGAACATAGGGACTCCTCTGTATTTCTTCATGTATTTTACACATGAAACTGCTGGAGACAGAAGAGTCTCCTCACTATGATGTTTCCTGTTGAATATTATTTGCAGATGTTACTTTTGTTTACGCTGCATTTGTTTAACTCTGTGAAGCTGTGTTACTCTGCCTGTCTAAAACACCTGATGGTCCTAATAAGATGAATGGCCAATAGTAAGGCAGGAGCAAGGATAGGCGGGCTAGCAGGCAGAGAGGATAAATAGAAGAAGAAATCCGGGCATAGAAAGAAGTACATGAGAATAAGGAGAGCATGTCGCCTAGCTACACATGAAGCCATGGAGAAAAGCAAAGATAGGTATACAGAAATAAACATAAAAGCCAAGAGGTAAAAAGTCGTCATATTTAAGAAAAGTTGGCGAGAAACAAGCAAAGCTAAGGCTGGGCATTCATAAGTAAGAATAAGCCCTCTGTGTTTTTATTTGGGAGTTGTGTGGTGGCCCCCCCTCAAAAAAGTGAAAAGTGCAAAAACAACACACAACATTATGACATACCAAGCTGAGCCTCGAATATCCATCTAAAAAATGAGAAAGTTGAAAAAGTATTTCCTTTGAGAGTTTGTGCCTGCTGGCAAGTCGTTGAGTAGCCTGTACATTGAGTAGTAACAAGAAATGACGTAAAAATGCCTGTGACAGAAATAGAATGATACAGAAATGAATTCTTTTATTGGTATGGACATTGATTTATTGATACAAATTTAAGGCAATTTTGTTATATGCATGTTTCTACACTTGTTTAAGGTATGTTCAGACAGCTCATTTAAAAATGTTAAGAAATGCAGATTAGTAGGTAGACTTCGATAGCAATCAATCTTTTAATTATGTTCTTTGCGTTTTCTAGATATACAGAGATAGATAATCTTCAACACTTCAAAGACCTACAGAAAATGGCATTTAAAATGTTTTAAGAACTTGGAATTTTCTTGACAGTGAGGCATGTCTGCTTCTGGCAGCACCGATTATTTCAGAGAGGTTGATGGGCACTGAAAAAATTCATTATGGAATTTGCCTTCAATGTGACAAAGCTAGCTATTTGGGCAAGAAACTACTCTTATCTGGACTGCTTGACAGTATGCTGTATAAAATGAACGTGCAGGAATCAAAGAAAAATGACTGCTGAACTTGCCAAAGAAAGTGAGACAGTCCTTCAGGGTTCCTGCCCCACCAAAGAAACTGCCAGACATTTGACAGGATATAGAAGAAAGTGACAAACAAACTGCCAATGTAGGCAGAACAGATCTTCAAATGTCCTGCCTCACTGAGTAGTCTGCCAGATATTATGGGCCTATAGGCTAAATATTGATGCCCAACATTACAGAAGAACTTTGGGTGATTGTCCAGACAGTGAGATGTTTCTGTAATTTCTAGAACTTTAGAAGTTGCTTTCAATGCAACTTTAGAAGTTGCTTACAATGCATTTCCTGTTTACTTAGATAATATTACAACCTTCTGGGGTCTTTGATGGAGTTGAAGATAGATAAAAAAGATAAATTAGTTATAAAACTTTAGACACACATATAGGATAGATGATAAAGTATTTACCTTAATTTGCCAAATGTAAATAGATTAAATATTGTAACTACAATTTTGGCTTGACAACTGTTTTGTATATGTAATTTCACTATGTTAATGTTAAAACCTTCCTTTTTATTTAGACAGAAAAGGGAAGATGATGTGGAATTCCCCTCTATATGCTGTGACTATGTTTTATTACCATTGGTTAATAAAGAAGCTGCATTGGCTAATGGCAGGGCAGAATAGACCTAGGTAGGAAAACTAAACTGAATGCTGGGAGAAAGAATGCTGAGGCAGGCTTATGCCATGTAGCTCCAGAAGGAGAATGATGCCAGAACCTTACCAGTAAGCCACAGTCTTGTGGCGATAACAGACTAATAGGAATGGGTTAATTTAAGATGTAAGAGCTAGCCTAGGAATATGCCTTAGCCATTGGCCAAACAGTGTTGAAATTAATATGGTTTTGTGTGATTATTTGGGTCTAGGTGGCCAGGAAATGAAAGCGGTCCCGATTTACAAGTGCTTCCATGGGAACTCGAAAGTGACAAAATATATGGTGGCATTTCCTCAATTGCTTTAAAGACAACTCAGAAAAATTGCCAAACATGTTCAAGTTTCTTCTTAGGTCAAGGGCAACTTTTGGTCAGCATGAGGCAGCTCTCTTGTTATCTGCAGCCCACACTCCTTGTGCTTTACAGAACAAATCTTCTGCCTCTGTTATCTTTAGGTGCTGTGATTTTCCCAGGAGAAGTGGCCACATCTCAGAGAGTGCTGACGCATGGGTAGCAACTACTTGGAGTTTAGACCTGAAGTTCCAGGAGGAGAACCCATCTGTCACAAAGTCATTGCTTCACCTCCATACGTACCTGTAGGGTGCTGGGCATCAAACCTCCTGTATACTTGGGGATCAGGTCTCATGTATACAAAATTTTGCTGGCATGATGGAGCAACAAGAAGGCTGTACACATAGAACAGAGAGCAGCAATCCTCCTGCTTCCTCACTGCTGGCATCTTGTATAACAGAGCCCTAGGCACAAGCCCAGGAAATTGGCATCAATGTGGTGCTGCTAATGAGTCACAGCCCCAATCAGAGCTTTGCAATGTTCCCTGCTGTGTATCCAGAGTCACCTTGTGTCCTTTCAGCTCCTTAGTCTGCTGTAGTCTGAGACAGATCGTCTGTCCTTCCTTGCCTGTCTCCCTCAACATTGGCCTTGGTGCACAAAGTACTTTGGCTCATCCTGTAGGATGTCCCTGAACTGCACGCCTCTGCCATTTTCTTCAATTACATTGGGGTTCAGCAAGAACATTAAGCACAACCATGCCCATTAGCCTTACTATTCCATAGACATCTCTGCTTCTTGGTCCTGCTCAGGGGCCCGTGGCACCTGCAGAGTTTCCCAATGCATGGCATCAGCATCAGGGAGACATTTGTTCTGGAATAGAAACATCGTGTTTCTGGCAGTGTTTCCTGTAGATGTTAGTCTCCATGCAGGAGCCATTACTGCCCTGGGTGCTAACGGTACCTTTCTCTCCCCACCCTGCTTCTTTATTTATTAATTGAGTTGGTTTGTAAGAAAGCAATTTTCCATCTTTTTTCTGTTTGTTTATTCATTTCAACATTGGCACAGAAGTCTAGTTAGCAGTCACAGAGCCTCTGCCATTTGGCAATTCCTGTAAGGTTACTGGATATATTAAGTAAGGTTGGTTATCTGAAAACCATAGACTGTTCATCTCTATTGTT